CGCCCTGCAGTGCTCCGGCACATCAGCAAACTCCGCTGTGGCGCTTCAACCAGCAAGGCCGTTGTTCAGAGGCTGGCAAGGCGCAGTGGCTGCGGGGCTGCCATGGGCTGTGCAGGCAGCTGAGCGTCGCGGTGTCGCAGCCTCTTGTGCTGGAGCCGAAGTGCCAGGAGCTGGGTGCTGTGCGGGGATCACTGCGCCGCGGCTGACGCTGAAGGGGCTGCAAGTTGCGGGAGATGAGCGCAGTGCACATGTCTGTGCCCATCGTGGCTCCAACGGGGAGGACATCTCCCGAGGACGTACGGCCACATGTCTATGGGGACCACGTCCCCGTGCTGCATTTCTTACCGGTGTCCACACCGCTGCAGCCGCTGCACTCCCACGATTCCGCGTCCTCTGCGATGGCAGAGCAGTGCTGGTGGGTGCCGCAGGAACCGCAGGAGCTGCAGAGCAGCATCCTCCAGGGCCTGTGGGAGTGACAGAAGCCAGAGCCGCACGGTCACCGGGGGTGCCAGGGCTGTGGGATGCCAGCCGTGGGGCGGTGTGTGCGTGCGCTCCCACGGCGGTGGCTGGCACTGAGCTACCAGGGCACAGCTTGTGCCGTGCTGAGCTCAGCATCCTGGCCAGCCTCCATCCCAGCTGCAAGGAGGGGATGAAGGCGCCAGGTCGCCATGACACTGGGGTCAGAGCTCACTCACCCTGTGTTCTCAGAGTAGTCCCTTCCGAGTGGGCACAGGCAGAGACCGGTGTCACAGGAGCTGTGCCGCTGGTACAGCTCATGGAAAGCTCCCTCTTCTACCTCCCAGGCCGCGTCCCTGTGGGAGGGAGCCCGGGACAGCTGAGTGCAGTGCGAGGGGAGGTGGGGGGGGGGGGGGGGGGGGGGGGGCCGGGCGGGGGCAGGGCGGTGGGTGCTGACCTGTCTGGGATTTTGATGCCGAGGCGGAACATCTCTGCCTGGAAGGTCTGCGTGTCCTGGCAGAGCGGGCAGCGGAAGTGGTGCAGGGCAGCGCGCAGAGCTTGGGCCTGGGGAAGGCAGAAGATGAGCTGGGGGCCCGTGCGCATTGCCCCAGGGCTGGGGACGATGCCAGGGTGGCAGGGTTGGGTGGTGCTGGGGATGATGCTGTGGTCTGGAGGCAATGCCGCCTACCTGGATGCACTGGCGGTGGAACTGAGCGCCGGTGCAGGAGGGACAGACCAGGGTGGTGTAGGTGGGGCGTCCCTCCACCGCCTCCAAGCAGACGGCACACTGCGGGTTCTCCTGTTGCAGTGGCCTCACCTGCTGGGTCGGCCGGTGCTGCCAGCAGAAGGACCTGCAGGATGGATGGAGGTGGCAGCTCAGCTCCTGCCCCATCCATCCTGCAGCCCCGCGGGTGCCTGCACTCACCTGTATTCTCCGAAAAACTGGGAGATGCAGCCGCGTTCTCTTCCGCAGGGGAAGTGGAAGGTGCGGGAGCATCTGCGGTGATGGCAGCGGACCGAGGCGCCCTGGTTCTGGCAGACGCAGCATTTCTGGGGACAGCAGTGCGGTGCTGGGCGTCAGTGCCGTGCACACACAGGTGACCCTTGCCCAGCAGAGCACGGTGATGATCTGGTGGGCCACGTGGCTAGGGACCCCGCAGCACTAATGAGTTGTGATTTGTGCAGCCATGGGTCTTCTTGGACAACCAGGGCTCTGCTGGAGTCTCCCAGCCACGTGGCACGGGGACCGAGGTGGGGACGCGTCGCCCTATTCACCTTCTGTGCCACGCGCTGCAGCACCTCCTCGATGTCCGGGATGAGGAATCCAAAGAATCCCTCATGGTCAGCGCCGCGCTGGTACAGCCCGCTGGCGTGGTACTGCAGGAGGCAACCGGGGACCTGTTAGTGCGTGTGGGGGCAGCGGCGGGCACGGGGCTGGGGGCTGGGGGCCTGGGGTTGGGGCTCACCAGGCAGTTCTCATGGATGCAGAGCCGGTCCTGACGGCACGTGTCTCCATAGATGTCGGGGTCGTGCTCTGCCCGCCGGCACAGCCTGCACCCTGCAGTGGGGACAAGGGCATTGTCACCCCAAGCCCGTGAGCAGGGCGGCTCCTGCACGTGGCGGAGGCACATCTGCCGTGGGAATGCTCTGCACTCACCTTCCTCCTCAGAGACACTTGGCCTCATTTCTGGGGGAGACGGCTCCCGTTCGGGCCTGGGCCGTGGCGCAGGGCGGCGGGTGGGGGGATTGGGATGTGGCGCACTGAGGTGTCGAGACCTCAGCTCCATTCCTGGGCTTTACTTCTGGAGCAAAGCAGGGGTGCTGCTTCCTCGATCCAGAGGTACCCGGGACTGGGGGGACAGGGGCGAGCGCAGTGTGAAGCTGCCCTGCACATTGTGATGTCAGCGTGAGAACGCGGGTGCTGGTGACGCGGTGGTCACAATGAGCAGGGCTTGGGGTGGGGCACTCACAGCCCCACGGGGTGCTGGGGGCTCTGAGGGGTGGCTTTGGGATGCCCACATCTGCCCCCTGTGGGGGGGCTGTGCTGGGGGGCTGTCAGCTCCAGTGGGGAGTTGGGAGACACATCAACTCACAGGTCTTGTGTGGGTGCAGACTGAAGATGGTGTCGCAAATAAACCACAGAATCCCCAATTTCGTAGGGCAAGAGATTTATTTAGGCGTCAGAGCTCCTGACTGCTCAGCAAGCATTTTGGTGTGTTGTGCACCATCTCTGTGTTTCCACTTCCTTCGCAGCGGTGGGAGAGCAGCTGTTCTGTTCTGGATAGCTCCAGCAGGGCCTGCACGCGGAAGTGCTCCGGCTGCAGAGGGAGCTGCTCGTAGCTCCCTCTTGTTCTTGGTGACCAGGCTGCAGGGAGAAAAGCGCCGCTGCGGCAATGGGGTGCCGCAGGGAGGAAGTCCGGAAGGCGAAAGCCCGTCTTGAACTTGGATTGGCCACTGCAGTAAAGGAGAATAAGAAATCCTTCTACAAATACACCAATGGCAAGAGAAAAACCAAGGATAATGTCTGTCCTTTAGTTGATGCGGCGGGGAACGTGACCACAGATGAGAAGGAGAAGGCTGAGGTCCTCAACGCCTTCTTTACATCTGCCTTTAATAGTCAGACCAGCTATCTTCGGGGCACTTTGTGCCCTGATCTGGATATCTGGGCTGATACGCAGCATGTCTCCCCGGAGATTGAGGTGGAGGCCGTTAGGGAGCTCCTCCTCCATCTGGACAGTCACAAGTCCATGGGAGCGGATGGGCTTCATCCTAGGGTGCTGAGGGAGTTGGCGGGGGTGATTGCTGAGCCGCTCTGGGCTATCTGCCAGCGCTCCTGGTTGACTGGAGAGGTTCCAGAGGATTGGAGGCTTGCTGGTGTGACGCCCATCTACTAGAAGGGCCGTAAGGAGGATCCGGGAAAGCACAGGCCTGTCAGCCTGACCTCAGCGCCAGGGAAGGTCATGGAACAAATCCTCCTGGGAGAGATCACACGGCTCGCCAGCATGGGTTCATGAAAGGCAGGTCGTGTTCGACCAACCTCATCTCCTTCTACGACTGGGTGAGCAGACTGGTAGATGGGGGAAAGGCTGTTGATGTATCTACTTAGACTTCAGCAAAGCCTTTGACACGGTCTCTCACAGTGTCCTTCTGCGGAAACTGGCTGCCCGTGGCTTGGACAGTTTTACCCTCCGTTGGATAAGGAACTGGCTGGAGGGCCGTGCTCAACGGGTGGTGGTCAATGGAGTGAAGTCCAGCTGGAGACCTGTTTCACGTGGTGTCCCCCAGGGGTCGGTGCTGGGGCCCATCCTGTTTAATATCTTCATTGAGGACTTAGATGAAGGGACTGAGTGCACCCTGAGTAAGTTTGCAGATGACACCAAGCTGGGAGGTGGTGTCGATCTGCCTGAGGGCAGGGAGGCCCTGCAGAGGGATCTGGATAAGCTGGATCGCTGGGCCGAGGTGAATGGGGTGAGGTTTAACAAGGCCGAGTGTCGGGTCCTGCACTTTGGCCACAACAACCCCATGCAGCGCTACAGGCTTGGGGATGAGTGGCTGGATGAGTGTGAGGAGGAAAGGGACCTGGGCTGAACATGAGCCGACAGTGTGCCCGGGTGGCCAAGAGGGCCGACAGCATCCTGGCCTGCATTGGAAATGGTGTGGCCAGCAGGAGCAGGGAAGTGAGCATCCCCCTGTACTCTGCACTGGTGAGGCCGCACCTCGAGTGCGGTGCTGTTTTGGGCCCCTCACTACAAGAAAGACATGGAGGCCCTGGAACGTGTGCAGAGAAGGGCAACGAAACTGGTGAGGGGTCTGGAGCACAAACCTTACGAGGAGCGGCTGAGGGAGCTGGGATTGTTCAGTGTGGAGAAGAGGAGGCTCAGGGGAGACCTCACTGCACTGTGCAACTGCGTGAAGGGAGGCTGTGGTGCAAAGGTTCTGGCCTCTTCTCCCAGGCAAATAGTAGGAGCCGAGGAAAGGGCCACAAGTTGTACCACAGGAGGTTGAGGTTGGACATGAGGAGAAACTTCTCTCAGAGGGTGGTCAGGCACTGGAATGGCTGCCCAGGGAGGTGGTGGAGTTGCCATCCCTGGCAGTGTTCAAGGGGCGCCTGGATGAGGAGCTACGAGAGATGGTTTAGTAGCTTGTGGTACTGATGGGAATGGGAGGGGGGTAGGACCAGATGATCTTGCAGGTCGTTTCCAACCTTGCGATTCTGTGATTCTGTAACCTCTCCCCCCCACATCCGTTCACGCGTGTTGGCAGAGTGTGCAGCAGAAACGCTGCAGGGCAGCTCAGCTGATGCGGCACACAGGAGGATAGCGTCGGTGCAGCCCCAGGCGGTCCTGGCCCAGCAGGCAGCCAAAGGAGCCAGCACCACCAGAGCTGCGCTGACAGCTTCCTGCAGGAAGGAACCGGGATCCTGCAGCTGCATCCAGGAGCATTGGTGGCACAGCACTGGGGCCGGGAGCCAAGGCCTGGGCAGCCAGCAGGCAGTGCTCGTGAATGCAGAGCCTGTCCTGCCAGCACGCCTCTCGGGGCCCTGGTCTGCCCTCTGGCACAGCCCACGCCCTGCCACTGCCACTGCCACTGGATGGTAGCATCGCTACCCGCTGCTGTGCTGCAGGGTAACGCCAGCACACGGCAGAGGCACATGGCCTTTGCGAGTCCTCTGTGCTCCCCTTCTTCCTCACCAACACGCTGCTTCGTGTCTGCAGGGTGCAGGCAGGGAGCTGCAGCCACCTGGGGCCTCAGCTCCGTCCACGGCATGCTCATCTGGAGCAAAGTGCCCCTGGAGCCAAGTGCCATCCGTACCCGGGGTAGCAGGACTGGAGCTGGGTGGCTGCAGGGCTCTGCTCTGTACCAGGCCTGCCCCCAGCTCTCCTTCCATTTCCGTCTCCCAGCAGCATTGCTGGGCAGGGGGTTTCATGGCACAAAGACCATGAAGAGTGCATCGCACTGAGAGAAATAGGCGGTTGACCTTGAGAAATGCTGCTGCCCCCTTCCCTCCTCTCGAGCTGTGGCCTGCTGGGACGAGGCTTGTTTTGCTGCGTCATAGGATCCTAGAACGGCCTGGGTTGGAAGGGACCTCAACAGCCATTAAGCTCCTACCCCCCTGCTGCAGGCAGGGCCACCAACCTCCGTATCTAATCCGTATAGAAACATCCATCTGTATATACCTATACGCAGGCTGCCCAGGGCCCCACTCAACTTGGCCCTGAACACCTCCGGGGACGGGGGATGCACAGCCTCTGTGGGCAGCCTGTTCCAGCTCCTCCCCGCTCTCATAGTCAAGAGCATCCCTGACGTCCAACCTGAACCTTCCCTCCTTCAACTTCAAACCATTCCCCCCTGTCCTGCTGTTACCTCCCCTTTCAAAGAGTTGACTCCTCCCTCTCCTGTTTGCAGGCTCCCTTCAGGTGCTGGAAAGCTGTCCTGAGGTCACCCCTCAGCCCTCTCTTCTCCAGGCCGAACAAGCCCAGCTCCCTCAGCCTGGAGGGCTTCGTAGGGGAGCTGCTCCAGCCCCCTGATCATCTCTGTGGCTCTCCTCTGGACCCTCTCCAACAGCTCCCTGTCTTTCCCGTACTGGGGGCTCCAGACCTGGACACAGTACTGCAGATGGGGCCTCGCGAGGGCAGAGCCGAGAGGGACCATCACCTCCCTGTCCCTGCTGCCAGCCCCCTCGTGATGGAGCCCAAGACAGCTTTTGCTTTCCAAGCTGCAGAGCACGCTGCTGGCTCCCGTTCCGTTTGTAATCCACCAGGGCCCCCAGGTGCCTCCGTGCCCGGCTGTCCCAAAGGACTTCTCCTCCCAGTCTGCACCTACGCCTGGGATTCCTCCAGCCCTACTGCAAAACCCTGCACTGTGCTGCGTCGAACCTCCCTAGATTCGCCTGGGCCCACCATTCCAGCCTGTCGAGGTCCTTCCAGGCTGGCTGCCTGTCCCTCTCCAAGAGCACCCGCCCCGCAGACAGCACCGCGGTAGGAGCCTCACGGTGGGCCACGGACGACTGGCATTTAATCTCGCAAGGGCTATCGGGGAAGCAGAAAAGACTTCTTCGCATGTATCGACAGCACACAGAAAAGCAGCGAAGACGCGGGGCGATGGGGCCGGCCGTGCTAACGAAGCATTCGGAGAAGGCCGAGCGAGCGCAGAACTGCGCAGCGGGGAAGGGGCGGCGCGGCGCTCTGTGCGGCCGGACGAGAAGAGCGGCGCGGCCCGCGCGAAATGGCGGCGCCGCGCGGCGTGCCCGGCCCCGCGTTCCGCCCGGCCCCGCCCCCTGGCCGCGCGCGCCGGGCGCTGATTGGGCAGCCGCGGGGATTCGGCCGCCGTCTCCGCCCTTCCTTCCACAGCGCGTCTGCGCCGCCGCGCCCCGGGCCGCTCCGTCAGCGGCGCGCGGCTCTGGTCGCGGTGCGGACGCGGAGGTGCGCGCGGTCGTCGCCGCGCTCTCTCCGAGGCGCTGAAGGAAGCGCCTCGTTAGCGGGGCCCGGCCCCGTTGCCCGGCGGGCTCGCGGCTGCGCCGGTCGCCGTGTTGCTCGCGATGGCTCTGCAGAAGAGCTTCGCGTTGCCGTTGGCGCGCCTAGCGAGATGAAGTGGCGGTCGTCGTCGGCCCGCCGTGAGGGTCCTGTGCACGGGGCCGCGGGTTCGGCAGCGCCCTGGGATGCCCGGCGTGCTATAGTGGAGAGAAGGAGCGCAGCTCCTTCCTTCATGGCAGCTGTGGTTGTCCCAGCGGCTGCGGTTCCGTCCCGGCACCCTCGGTGCTCCGTGGGAGCGGCGGGGCAGCGCTGGT